CACCCGCCCCATGTCGGCTCTACGCTCATCCCGATTCACCCTTTACTGGAGAGCAGCTCAGAAAACAAGTGGTTTCCTTCGAAAAGGTTAAACTAACAAACAACGAAATGGACAAGCACGGACATGTAAGTTGATGCATCTTAAAATACTATTACATCAGCGGTCGGGGAACCAGGGTAATTTACCCCAAATAGAGTAAAAATGAAATTTTTGGGGGTAAAAATGAAACTTTTGTGAGTAAAAAGTATATATTTTTAATTTGCTATTTTATAAACCTAAATTAAATTTTTAGTTATTGTTTTCTTTTCAAAATTATCATGGGGGCTATAATATGAAAGATGCTAAAAAGAGGCGATTTCGTTTTTTTTTGCTCTTCGCCATGGGGTAATATCAACTTACACAAAAATATTTTGGGGTAATGATTAAAAAAGTTCCCCGACCGCTGATTTAGGCGGAACCTTTAGCGCGGGAGTCAGGCAAGAACTTTTTTTATTACACCTATTTCTAGGGGTAAAAAAAATTGTACAAACCAACAGAAGGCACCCCTCTACTCTGCTTTTTTTTTCTCTAGAAGTTTTCGCTTTTCATTCGGTCAAAGTGGGAGCGGCAAGCTTATACGTTGAAAATGCCGAGCGCGTTTGCGACGTCAAAAGACGAAAAACCAGGCGAGGACCACTGACAAATTCTCTGAAAGCCTTTACCCGCATCCTAATGAACGCTCTTGTTGATTCATTCTGCCTTTCTGCATGTACAGTCGACATATACGTATGTATACATAGGGATGTATGTGAACGAGATGTGCCTGACGTTTAGCTCTTTCTTTCTATGCAGCTTTACAAGATTGAATAGTAATTAGCAATTTCCGGGATCACATAATTGTAATTGAAAATCTAGTTAATTAGAAATTTCCCTATTTCTTAATTAACTTAAATTAAACGCAACCTGAAATAATGTACGATAATCTTAAATGATTTAAGAGTACTACCTCGTCTCTTACAGAGTAATAAATCATAAATCAAAAATTTATAAAATCCGCGCCACAAAAGAATGCCCAAAAAACTCGATAACAATTAAAAAATTGATAGTTGTACCGTCTTTAATGATGTTGATCGCGTCTTCGATATATAGATTAAAAACTGCAACAAAATTTTTATGGTAATCAAGGTACTTTATAGCAACTAAAGCAAAGACGTACGTATGCATATGCGTATATATTGTCCATTAATTTTTAACTGAATCCATTAGGATGATAAGATGATAGCTTTTTATACTCTTCTTTTTTCTCTATAAAGAGAAGTTTTTCTGTCCTCAATAAACCCCAGTTCCGATAGATAATTTTATCTAATGATTTTAGTGGAGTATCTTTCAGTCTTCAGTAAGGTCGGGGCAATTTTTCATCAGTTTATGAATATATTAATTTAGAGAACGATTGAATCGCGTATCGGTTTAATTCGTTATTTACCGGAAAAGTTATCATACTTTAGCTCATAAGGTTCACACTGTTTCAGGCTTTAATCTGTTTAATACTGTGTAAGTTGTATCTTGCATAGTAATACGTGTTTTATTACAATGTTAACTTGGCTGTTATTGGTGTTAGCTACAGTGGCATTTGTTTTAATATTATTAACAATGTATTGGTGTTACGTGAATTACAATTACTTTTTCAAAATGAAAAATTTGCCAGGTCCATCACCGTTACCTATCCTGGGCAATGCATTATATTTTAAAGAATTGGATGGTAGAATATCGATCAGTATTGTCCTTCGAATTATAGGCTACATTATGATCTTTTTAAGGCTTCTTAAACACGTTATTGAAATTGAAAAGCAAATATGGATCGCCTTTTAAAATCACAATTGGTTTTCAATACCCCTGGGTAATTATTTCCGATTCCAAGTTTATGACATTCTTTCTGTCTTCGAACAAGTACATTACCAAGTCGCAGGATTATAATTTTTTTCGCAGTTGGTTAGGAGATGGGCTGTTGACAAGTACAGGTATTTTTTTAATTTAATATGTACTAAAACTACCTCACTTTTATGTGTGGTGCCTAGGTGTGCTCAACGTTCAGTGTGGATCTTGCTATACCGAAAAAACAAATTATTTTCACATAAAGCAAACAAATTTCTCATTCATATAAATGACTAATTAATATTCAGATGAATTTCTGATGTATAATGCGGAATATCTATCGAGTATTTATATTATTTGTAATACGGTAGAATTATTTATTATGCACCTATAGTGACATACTAATAAGGTTGATTACCATGACATATTTCACCTTGTAAAAGACACTAAAATGGAAATGCAATATATTCTACTTGTCCAACCTTCTAATTTTTCTCTTTCCTTTTGCTGAATTTAGAAATATTTATTATTTACTTTGCATTAATTACTTAATCTGCTGCTACTACTTCATTATTTATTATTATTAACTTAGACCTTCTTCGTTCGAGTATGGTAAATCGATGATGTGAAATGTATTTATTTTGCTCTAACAGGTAAACAATGGAAAATTCATAGAAAAATTCTAACCCCTGCTTTCCATTTTGATATACTTGAAAAATTCTTGGACGTATTTGAAAAAAACGTTGAGATTATGCTTAATAGGTGGAGAAACGAAATCGGAACAACAAATTTTGACGTGTTTCCTTTTGTAAGATTACTCACTTTGGATATAATTTGTGGTAAGTGAAGTTCAGTTCTGTTCCTAAACCAATAACCGTACCTAGTTAATGATCTAATCCAAAAATTAAATTTCAAATTCAGGTACAATAAAAATACGTATATAATCTTAACAAATAATATGAATGAGAATGTGAGCTTGTTTGTTACGATTTCACGCATTAACTACTTAATAGATCATCATGAAATTTTGTACACAGATTGTTAGGGATTCAGAAAAGGATATAGGGTACTTTTTATTCAAAAAACGAAAACCGTTATGTGCTATAAAATATTCTAAACTTCTGCACTTGATTACAAGTACACGCAATTTCGTTTACAGAAACAGCGTTAAGAACGGAAATAAACGCCCAAATTGACAACAATTCGGATTATGTCCGATCAGTTCAGTTACTGAATAGGATTCTGATGGACAGAGCCCTTAGCCTATTTTTGTGGCATGACTCAATTTACATGCACAGCGATCATTCGATTAGGGAAAGAAGTGCCGTTAAAATCATCAATTCTCTAACCGACTCGGTCATTAAACGGAGAAAAGAAGAAATTGAAAATCAGTGGGACAGTCACGTCGAAGACTCGGGGGATGAAAGAAAACTTGCCTTTCTAGATTTGCTTTTGCAAGCTGAGGCGGATGGCGAGCGATTGTCTGACATCAGCATAAGGGATGAAGTGAACACGTTTATGTTTGAGGTACTGCTTACGACATCTAAAATTTAATTCGTGATAAAACAATTCGAAGTGGTCTGTATTCTGTCGAAACTTTTTGGATCTCATCAGCGCGTCGCAGGCAGCTTCGACAGAACACAGACTTTTACCTGCTGTATTAAGAGTGCGTTTTAGAAAATACTACAAATGGCGCAGTAAACGCCATCTGTAGCACGATGCTACATTTTAGGATTACGTATGCTCCAAAAAACGCACTGTTAAGACAGCAGGTAAAAGTTGGTCTGTGTTCTGTCGAAACTGCCTGCGACACGCTATGAGATCCAAAAAGATCAAAATCGCGATCTGCGTCTGGCAGTTTAGACAGAATACAGACCACTTCGAATTATTTTACTGCGCCATTTGTAGTATTTTCTTAATTCGGGATGTTTAGACTAAAAATTAGTTTCTCAAGATAGTAACCGAAACTTGAAATCATATATCAGCTATAATCTATATTAAAACATATCACAATTTTTGAGAAACATTAATTTGGAAAATTATCAACTTCATGTTTTTATTATGTGTCAATATCAATATTAAGTTATAGGGACCTTCATCACGCCTTTCCGGCTAGAGTTTTTTACTCCTTAACTATTGAAAATATTGTCAGTTAATAAATACGTTCTTTAGGGTCACGACACCACCGCTTCTGCGATCAGCTTTAGTTTATACAATATTTCCCAACACCCTGAAGTACAAAAGAAAATTGTAGAAGAACTAAACACAATTTCCAATAAGGGTAACAACAGCGGTCACTTTACTTATACGGACTTGCAAGAAATGAAATACTTGGAAGCAGTAATAAAGGAAACATTACGAATGTATCCACCTGTTCCTCTCTTTGGTAGATTGGCAACTGAAGACATACTATACGGTAACCAATAGCTATTTAATGAACTGTCGGTGTTTCGCACTCGTACAGAGTCTTCTTCAAGCATGTAACTTTAATAATCTTTTCGTAACTACTGATTTCTTTTTGTTAAAGTGATTCGACCCTGCGCTATCCTACTTTCTGGATATCGAATGTCAGTGACTTCCTCTAATTTTTCGTCTCCTATTNTTACATTGATAAATTGAATAAATGATGTCTAAATTAAATTTTCAGTTATTGTTTGCCTTTCAAAATTATCATGGGGGCTATAATATGAAAGATGCTAAAAAGAGGCGATTTCGTTTTTTTTTTTTGCTCTTCGCCATGGGGTAATATCAACTTACACAAAAATATTTTGGGGTAATGATTAAAAAAGTTCCCCGACCGCTGATTTAGGCGGAACCTTTAGCGCGGGAGTCAGGCAAGAACTTTTTTTATTACACCTATTTCTAGGGGTAAAAAAAATTGTACAAACCAACAGAAGGCACCCCTCTACTCTGCTTTTTTCTTCTCTAGAAGTTTTCGCTTTTCATTCGGTCAAAGTGGGAGCGGCAAGCTTATACGTTGAAAATGCCGAGCGCGTTTGCGACGTCAAAAGACGAAAAACCAGGCGAGGACCACTGACAAATTCTCTGAAAGCCTTTACCCGCATCCTAATGAACGCTCTTGTTGATTCATTCTGCCTTTCTGCATGTACAGTCGACATATACGTATGTATACATAGGGATGTATGTGAACGAGATGTGCCTGACGTTTAGCTCTTTCTTTCTATGCAGCTTTACAAGATTGAATAGTAATTAGCAATTTCCGGGATCACATAATTGTAATTGAAAATCTAGTTAATTAGAAATTTCCCTATTTCTTAATTAACTTAAATTAAACGCAACCTGAAATAATGTACGATAATCTTAAATGATTTAAGAGTACTACCTCGTCTCTTACAGAGTAATAAATCATAAATCAAAAATTTATAAAATCCGCGCCACAAAAGAATGCCCAAAAAACTCGATAACAATTAAAAAATTGATAGTTGTACCGTCTTTAATGATGTTGATCGCGTCTTCGATATATAGATTAAAAACTGCAACAAAATTTTTATGGTAATCAAGGTACTTTATAGCAACTAAAGCAAAGACGTACGTATGCATATGCGTATATATTGTCCATTAATTTTTAACTGAATCCATTAGGATGATAAGATGATAGCTTTTTATACTCTTCTTTTTTCTCTATAAAGAGAAGTTTTTCTGTCCTCAATAAACCCCAGTTCCGATAGATAATTTTATCTAATGATTTTAGTGGAGTATCTTTCAGTCTTCAGTAAGGTCGGGGCAATTTTTCATCAGTTTATGAATATATTAATTTAGAGAACGATTGAATCGCGTATCGGTTTAATTCGTTATTTACCGGAAAAGTTATCATACTTTAGCTCATAAGGTTCACACTGTTTCAGGCTTTAATCTGTTTAATACTGTGTAAGTTGTATCTTGCATAGTAATACGTGTTTTATTACAATGTTAACTTGGCTGTTATTGGTGTTAGCTACAGTGGCATTTGTTTTAATATTATTAACAATGTATTGGTGTTACGTGAATTACAATTACTTTTTCAAAATGAAAAATTTGCCAGGTCCATCACCGTTACCTATCCTGGGCAATGCATTATATTTTAAAGAATTGGATGGTAGAATATCGATCAGTATTGTCCTTCGAATTATAGGCTACATTATGATCTTTTTAAGGCTTCTTAAACACGTTATTGAAATTGAAAAGCAAATATGGATCGCCTTTTAAAATCACAATTGGTTTTCAATACCCCTGGGTAATTATTTCCGATTCCAAGTTTATGACATTCTTTCTGTCTTCGAACAAGTACATTACCAAGTCGCAGGATTATAATTTTTTTCGCAGTTGGTTAGGAGATGGGCTGTTGACAAGTACAGGTATTTTTTTAATTTAATATGTACTAAAACTACCTCACTTTTATGTGTGGTGCCTAGGTGTGCTCAACGTTCAGTGTGGATCTTGCTATACCGAAAAAACAAATTATTTTCACATAAAGCAAACAAATTTCTCATTCATATAAATGACTAATTAATATTCAGATGAATTTCTGATGTATAATGCGGAATATCTATCGAGTATTTATATTATTTGTAATACGGTAGAATTATTTATTATGCACCTATAGTGACATACTAATAAGGTTGATTACCATGACATATTTCACCTTGTAAAAGACACTAAAATGGAAATGCAATATATTCTACTTGTCCAACCTTCTAATTTTTCTCTTTCCTTTTGCTGAATTTAGAAATATTTATTATTTACTTTGCATTAATTACTTAATCTGCTGCTACTACTTCATTATTTATTATTATTAACTTAGACCTTCTTCGTTCGAGTATGGTAAATCGATGATGTGAAATGTATTTATTTTGCTCTAACAGGTAAACAATGGAAAATTCATAGAAAAATTCTAACCCCTGCTTTCCATTTTGATATACTTGAAAAATTCTTGGACGTATTTGAAAAAAACGTTGAGATTATGCTTAATAGGTGGAGAAACGAAATCGGAACAACAAATTTTGACGTGTTTCCTTTTGTAAGATTACTCACTTTGGATATAATTTGTGGTAAGTGAAGTTCAGTTCTGTTCCTAAACCAATAACCGTACCTAGTTAATGATCTAATCCAAAAATTAAATTTCAAATTCAGGTACAATAAAAATACGTATATAATCTTAACAAATAATATGAATGAGAATGTGAGCTTGTTTGTTACGATTTCACGCATTAACTACTTAATAGATCATCATGAAATTTTGTACACAGATTGTTAGGGATTCAGAAAAGGATATAGGGTACTTTTTATTCAAAAAACGAAAACCGTTATGTGCTATAAAATATTCTAAACTTCTGCACTTGATTACAAGTACACGCAATTTCGTTTACAGAAACAGCGTTAAGAACGGAAATAAACGCCCAAATTGACAACAATTCGGATTATGTCCGATCAGTTCAGTTACTGAATAGGATTCTGATGGACAGAGCCCTTAGCCTATTTTTGTGGCATGACTCAATTTACATGCACAGCGATCATTCGATTAGGGAAAGAAGTGCCGTTAAAATCATCAATTCTCTAACCGACTCGGTCATTAAACGGAGAAAAGAAGAAATTGAAAATCAGTGGGACAGTCACGTCGAAGACTCGGGGGATGAAAGAAAACTTGCCTTTCTAGATTTGCTTTTGCAAGCTGAGGCGGATGGCGAGCGATTGTCTGACATCAGCATAAGGGATGAAGTGAACACGTTTATGTTTGAGGTACTGCTTACGACATCTAAAATTTAATTCGTGATAAAACAATTCGAAGTGGTCTGTATTCTGTCGAAACTTTTTGGATCTCATCAGCGCGTCGCAGGCAGCTTCGACAGAACACAGACTTTTACCTGCTGTATTAAGAGTGCGTTTTAGAAAATACTACAAATGGCGCAGTAAACGCCATCTGTAGCACGATGCTACATTTTAGGATTACGTATGCTCCAACAAGGTCCACTTGTGTGGATATCTACTTGCTGAAAACGAATCCCGGCGTAGCCAACCTCAACGTGATAGGCACGTTAGCTTAATCGAATAAAATAATTCGAAGTNCTGCCTGCGACACGCTATGAGATCCAAAAAGATCAAAATCGCGATCTGCGTCTGGCAGTTTAGACAGAATACAGACCACTTCGAATTATTTTACTGCGCCATTTGTAGTATTTTCTTAATTCGGGATGTTTAGACTAAAAATTAGTTTCTCAAGATAGTAACCGAAACTTGAAATCATATATCAGCTATAATCTATATTAAAACATATCACAATTTTTGAGAAACATTAATTTGGAAAATTATCAACTTCATGTTTTTATTATGTGTCAATATCAATATTAAGTTATAGGGACCTTCATCACGCCTTTCCGGCTAGAGTTTTTTACTCCTTAACTATTGAAAATATTGTCAGTTAATAAATACGTTCTTTAGGGTCACGACACCACCGCTTCTGCGATCAGCTTTAGTTTATACAATATTTCCCAACACCCTGAAGTACAAAAGAAAATTGTAGAAGAACTAAACACAATTTCCAATAAGGGTAACAACAGCGGTCACTTTACTTATACGGACTTGCAAGAAATGAAATACTTGGAAGCAGTAATAAAGGAAACATTACGAATGTATCCACCTGTTCCTCTCTTTGGTAGATTGGCAACTGAAGACATACTATACGGTAACCAATAGCTATTTAATGAACTGTCGGTGTTTCGCACTCGTACAGAGTCTTCTTCAAGCATGTAACTTTAATAATCTTTTCGTAACTACTGATTTCTTTTTGTTAAAGTGATTCGACCCTGCGCTATCCTACTTTCTGGATATCGAATGTCAGTGACTTCCTCTAATTTTTCGTCTCCTATTTTAATATTATAAATTTTCCCTACTTTTACTTCCCTTGCGTTCGAATACTCTTATTTCATTTTTATTTATTTTTGTCAATACATTTTCCATTTTATTTATCCAACCCCTCTTTCTACATCATCTACAAATCTAATCTTTCGCATTCCTTAATAATATCCTGTCTTCAATGGTATTAATCAAGTCTTCGGTTAATAAACTAAAAGACATATTTACATAGTTAATAACTATTTTAAAATCTTGATATTTCTATTTGACTGAACCTTTGGATATACTATATACGAAAGGTAGATACGTTTGTTCAAGATATTTTTATGGTCTTTAATAAATCAATAACTTATAAATACTTTTTATTTTTAACTTTATAATGTGTTCCTTTCTTTTAGAGGATAAAGTTATACCTAAAGACACAAATATCACATTGTTCGCATTCGGTTTGCTTAGAGATCCGGAACTATTCCCGGAACCTGAAAAGTTTCTTCCAGAACGATTCCTCGGTAATAAGGTTAAAGCAAACAACCCATTTACGTATGTTCCTTTTAGTGCTGGACCACGAAATTGCATTGGTAAGGATCAAAGACAAAACCACAAGTAATAAATCCAAGAAGTAGTTAAAAAGTTGTATCTAATTAATTTTGATTTTAAAAATGTTTGTTTTACCTGGAGCATCTTTTTTAAGGTCAAAAGTTTGCTATGTTAGAAATGAAGTCGACAATAGGGCACATTTTAAAACGATACGAATTGCATCCTGCTGATGGAAACTTCCAACTTAACTTGATATCTGAAGTAATATTAAAGTCCACAACAGGAATTAAATTAAGGATAAAGAGACGTTTGTAATTAAAACTTTTATTATATAGCGATATTTCGAAAATTTTCTGTATTTATGTAACTGTAGTTTTTTACGTTTTTTTTTTGTATTATATTTTATTACCCAATACAACTATTATCAAAAATAAGAATATAATTTTATATGTTACAAAAAAACTATAGTATACATTAATTTCTATCCTAGAAAAAAATTATAAACATGAATTTGCAAAATAAAACGAAAATCAAGTTTTTCTAGTCTATAAATCAATTATTTTTTTGAGTGTTTAGAGTAAAATTTTACAGCAGATCCGTTCAATTAAATTATTATTAAGTTATTTCTTTTCAAAAGTTTGTAATTAGTAAATATAAATATATATTTCAATAAAAAGGATCAAGGATTATACTCGTATTTCGTTGAAAAGCTTATACTGCTGGCATCTATAGTACGTATCTAGAATATGATATTTAAAATTATTAGGCTTCTCTGCCATCTTCTGCAAATTAATCGAAATTGTAGCTTCAAATCGTTGCCACTTTAAGCAAATCTCTGTAATACACCTGTTGCATGTTCTGTATTGTTTACATTTTGTATGTAACAAACGTCAAAAAGTTTATCAATAAATGCTTATCGAGTTTTTTTTTACCTTTTACATTTCAATTGTAGTGCAGTTTGTACAGAAACGTTGCTATAATCCTCAATATACAGTAAACCATCTTTTCACTACATAATGATTGAGTTGATAACGTTTTAAGTGATAAGGTCAAGTGAATAAGTGACTAGCAAAATAATCCTAGATTAAAGTTAGATCAGCAATGTCGCTTTCTCAAAAGGAGGTTTTTTCTAAATTGGAACAAAACAACATTAATACCTTTCAAGAAGCAGTTCGTCTATTAACAATTATTGCAGATAACATATTAAAAGATCCTGCTAACCTCAAAATTAGAACTCTTCGAAAGAATAATAAAATTGTAAAAGCAGGCATTCTTGACATAATAGGAGGAAAAGACTGTTTGCTATTGATGGGATTTGTAGAGGTACACAGTTAAATAATCATGGTAAACACCGTGTAGTTAATATTTATTGGTACTTTTACAGACAAACGAATCTCTCACATTACCAAAGAATGCTCTTTTAAAAAAACTAGAAGACATAAAATTCAATTTAAACAAATTTTACGAAGAAGCGAGCACGAGAGAAAAGAATAATTCTGATAATGTTTTTGCATCACTCAAAGAAAATGATAATACTGCCGAAAGTACTTCCAGTGCAACAGACTCTGTAAGTACCTTTTTTTATGTAGACTAGATTTTATTCAAGTTTTATTTGACAAATTTTCTTCTTGAAATTGTAATAAAATAAATAGATATGTAGCAGCAGTTCGTACAATCTAAAATAATGGTAAAAAAATATTTTCCAATATTGCATTGGTTATTAAGCATCTCAGCTTCCAGCTATTTTAAAAGCTCTAATCATATAACAAACATATATTAAATATTTAACTAATATCACCTGAGATAACAGCTGTAGTTTGATATGAACTAATCCATGTGCTGTGAACTTGAGCGGATTAAGTAGCACCTGTCGGCTAAATATTATCATCTGAAACAAAAATAATGCCATAATTATGTTAATATTATGAGAACATCGAATTTTTAGAACGATATTTATTGTAAAAAAGTGAGAAAACAAATTCTTGACAAAACAACTGTATAAAAACGAATTTAGTAAGTTGTCTCTATCATCTAGAATGAATATAATTCTATCAGTAAATTTTACTGAAAATATTTCAAATGTAATTGATATTTCAAAAGTGAAATTAAATAGGACAATTATAATACAATAAATCCATTAGGAAGCATTTCGAATTTTAGTCATTACTTAGATTATCTAGTAATTACACCTGTCGTAATGAAGTAAGCCTTTAATTATTAACGATCGCTTTAACTTAATAGCAAAAGATTACTTGAATAAATAATAAAGACAATATATTAATATGCATTTGGACTTAAAACAATGATAACTTAATCAGTAAAGTATTAGAACGTAATCATAATAACTGAAAAATGGAAATGACGAAAACATTTGAATAAATTAATTTTTAATTTAGGAATCATCTTTTGATTTTGCAAAAAAAAACATTTTACGACCCCCTACCGCGTTTATATCATACACATACAAATTCATTTTAATTACTATAAGGTGCGACATTTTGCGCGTCCAAATGTGAAAATTGAGAAAAATCCGAAATAATAAATCATTTCCTTTAATTTCCCCTTATCATCAAAGCACAAGTCATCGTACTCCTTACGACAACCTGCCGCGCTTTTTTAAAACAAAATTAAATTCGTTTGAACCACTGTAAACGATGAAAATTTCGGCTTCCAAATTTGAAAATTGGTTAAAATGGATCCAAAATCATAAAACATCCTTTAATTTCGCAAAAACATATTTTCATTAAAACTTAAGCACATTACTTCTTACGGCACCTTTCCCTACTTGTCATACGAATTTAACTTGGTTTAAATCGGTGTAAATTTTTCGTGTCCTAATTTGAAAGTTGTATTAATAGTGTTATTTATTATGTTCGACAGTTTTAACGAGTAGAAACCTTCGTACGGTCCTTTTCGAACTGATGAAATTCTATAGTTAGCAATAAATATCGGTAGATTGCGATATGTTGTCCATAACTTGTTATTACTTCAATTTTGAATATATACGTACTTATGAAAGAACAGTATAAGGTTTTGTTGTAATAGGGAGCAAATTTTGTAATTACTTAAATCGACTTATAATTATTTATCATCTTTTCTTTTTTGCATTCCTATCAGTTTATATTTTTCACAGCTTGAGTCCAACATAATAAATCATAACTCACCTTCTTGCGTACATTATTACATTCAGTATCCATTAAATATCGATGAATATAAATTCCCGTTTTATAAGCCTACAATAAGCAGTAAAAGTTATTTATCTCATCTTGATGGAAAAATGTACCATGCACAAAATGTACCTCTTTTTGAACGTCCGAGTAGAACTTCAGTACACTAAGTAGTCTCATGAAACTTAACGTCAATCTGAGTATATCAGAACTTGCAGCCAAAATGTTTTGTTTTACCTACAGCGTAAATATGAAATTAATTTCAATCTTACAGGGTGTAGTGTGAAGTAAAACTGCTCTTATAAAAATACTGCTTCAAAAAAAAAAAATTACAAATCACTTTGAAATGGCTGCATTACGTGTTTTCTAAGTATATTTTTCATTTTATTATTATAAAACTAGAAAGTTCCCTCTAAAGTTTAGCAAATGAAAATTGTACAATTTTTACTGACACTCACGCTAAAGTAGTAATAAATATTAAATAATGTCACCAATATAAGGAAAAATTCTAAGAGCAGAAACAATAGTAAGTCTATTGCTACAATGTCGTTAAAATCACGAGCTGTACGGATGAGGTTGTCGTACGAATTCATTATAAATTGCAGAGAATTTTGAACTTTGACACTATTGTGTTGTCTCAACTTGGTAATGAGCGCCGTATTATAATCCGGAAAATCAGTCAATACCAAGTATCCAATACTTTGGGGTTGGATTGTTCGATCTGTAATGCATATTGTTCTGATCAAGAGCGTTTGCAGGATCATCGCCAGGAAGAAGTAGAGCAGAGTCGTTTCTGTATTAAAAGATAAAAGCTTTCAAAGTGTGACATGCTTTCGATGCATCATTTAATTTTCGGCAAAAATCATAGTCAAAAATCTCTTTGCATAAATTTATTTGGTTTCTCTCGAAATATTGAAGTATTCCACTTCCTCCTGATCCGATCTGACATTTTTCTGTTATCCTGTACGTCTTACCAGATTTCGCTGCTGCAACTTTTGAGTAATTTTCTTCAATTTGCAAATAATTTTGCATTGTTTTAATAAATATTGTGTTTATTCCTCGAAAAAAATTAAAAAATGTAAACATGAACGTCGCAACATAAATTTCAACGATATACATAATCACACCTAAAAAGAATTCCACTGTTATAAAACCTTTATTAAAAGTTTATTGTAAAAATATTCCAAGCTTTTCTATCAATACCTCTTCCGTTTTATTTAAAGCTAAATCTAACTCCCCCTTACTGTCGTACCCACAAATCTAAGTAATAATTTGTCCTGCATGTCTAATCCTAAACTTGTCCTGCCTTTAATAATATTGATAGCATCTTCGATATACAAATTAAAAAGTAACGTCGACAATGTACTTCGTTGTTTAATTCCCTTCCTGATATTTACGTCTCTACGTTGCTCTTTATATAAATTATATGTCGCTTTTTTATCCCTAAATCTCATCCCTACATTCTCAAGTATTTTTAACATATCCCACTTATCATTGTTAAAGGCCTTTTGAATCCTACATTATATTACTAAAATTCATGACAAACCATGAGTTTATTTGAATTTGAAAAAGTAATTGATGCTTTCACAAATAATTTCATGATATTGCCTGTTGTATTTCTTTACACACCTGATAGATTAGTTGTAGACAAAATCATTATCCTTTTCGTTTGTTCGAAACTATCGAATTCTTCTAAAAAGAACGCTACAGTCAAAAGACCAATTGCTATAATGTTTCCGAAAGTAAGTGCGCCAATTTGAAACCACCAGATGTTCTTGTTCTCATATTTGTAACGCATACTTGTCAGAAAATCTTCGTACCAGCAGAGATTTTCTATGATTTTTTTTAAATTGTTGCTTCTATAAACTCCGTAAACAATAAAGGAGTAGGTCATAACAATTCGCAAGGCAATCATGGCATGGGTTAAAATCCTCACAACGTACTGCTCAGCGTTCACGTTGCAATTTTGTAAGAAGTAAATCACCAATAAAACCGTATAAGTGACCGATAATAGTACGGACAATATTATTATTGCAGTAGAATTTATTAGAGTGCATTGGCCGTTTCTTTTACTTATCCAAATTTTTGACATTCCAAAAATTGCCACAGCATTCACTGCAGGCCTTACACAATTTAGGAACTTCTTCTTCACCAGCTCAACCATCGAAAAGCTTTTCATAAACTCCAAACTCGGACTAATTATTCCGTTCATATGTCGCAATTTAACTAATGAATATTTCAGATAAGATCTAAATCAAGCAAGAAATGCGCGATCAATAATAAATAATTCATAGCAGTGTCGGCTTTATAATAAATATTCTATTTAATTGTAGGACTCATCGTCATCAGATGAAATAGATACAAAAACTAATGTTCCTAAAAGAATAATAATACCTAATGATATCGCCCTAGTGCACCTTCCGAGCCCTCTTTACGTAAGAAATATCCGCTGTTATAAGTGTATAACTGAAACGGTTTAGTTGAAATTGTATTTTATAGAGGTATACCCATCCGTTTTTACGTAGCATAGAATCTAGATTTCATGCTGCGTTAGCTTATAAGGACAAAGATTTAATTAAAAAAGCAAAAGGGATCATTCCAATCCATCAAATCGAAACTAACAGTCAAAATAAGTTACGTCAGCTACAGGAACAAATAAAGAAAGGTTTTTTTGGTTTTCTACTGCTTAATATCGTTATTAATTAACTCTTAATTAATCATCAGGAAAAATAACCGATCAGAATGTATCGCTACAAGAGTTTCTTCTATTGGAATTGTTAGACTGGTTTAAAAATGATTTCTTTTCGTGGGTGGACTCTCCGCAATGCGAATTTTGCGGCAGTAAAACTACATTTTCTGGAATGAGTAATGATCCTTCCGTTTTAATTCACACCGAAAGGGTTGAGGTTGGTCGTCCGTTATTATTGTAGAAATTAATATTTAGATCTCTATTCGAACTTTAATTTATTAGACGTACATATGCATCTCTTGTCATAAAAATACGTATTTTCCTCGTTACAATGACGTTAATATCTTACTAATAACAAGACGTGGAAGATGTGGAGAATGGGCGAACACATTTACCCTTTTGTGTATCGCAATGGGTTGGGATGCTCGATTTATTGAAGATAAAACAGACCACGTTTGGACAGAGGTAAGTGTATTCAGCAATAAAGAACAATTTAATAATTCGAAATGGTCTGTATTCTGTCGAAACTGCCAGACGCGGATCGCGTTTTCGATCATTTTGGATCCCATCAGCGCGTCGCAGACAGCTCCGACAGAACACAGACCAACTTTTACCTGCTGTCTTAACAGTGCGTTTCAGAAAATACCACAAATGGCGCAGTAAACGCCATCTGTAGCACGATGCTACATTTTAGGATTACGTATGCTCCAACAAGGTCCACTTGTATGGATATATACTTGTTGAAAACGAATCCTATCACGTTGAGGTTGGATACGTCAGGATTCGTTTTCAGCAAGTAGATATCCACACAAGTGGACCTTGTTGAAGCAAACGTAATCCTAAAATGTAGCATCGTGCTACAGATGGCGTTTGCTGCGCCATTTGTAGTATTTTCTAAAAGAACAATTTGTTTACACCTTTTTTAAACTCTTTTATCGGTGAAGCCGACAATCCCGAACGTTGTTTGTACCTAGGGCTGCCATCCGTCCGGGATTCCCCGGATTTGTCCTAGTTTGAAGGGCGTCCGGGGGCCGTACGTCAGGGGTTTTTAAATAGTGTCAAGGACACTTTTGTTGTCAGGGGAAATCCAATTTTCTTTATTGATAAGCGCGATGAATTCATTGACAATGTGAACTTAGAGTGTGTTTTCGCTAGTCACGCAGCAATAGACAAAAGCAAGAAATTCCCTAAACATACACACGGTTTCTACTCTGATCAAAATCAAGTATAATTTCAAGGACTTGAGTAGTTCCGACTTTTACAAATTCTTGTTGGAAAAGAAAGATATTTCAGCGAAAATTGGAGAAGACAGAAAAATAGCAAAATAAGAAAAAAAAAATTGATCTCGTTAAAATTAAAAGTTTAATTTACAAATTTCATAGGGATTTGGCTACCTAAGCAGATGACTGAAAATATCATTGGCATGGTTTATTTTAAAATTATAAAGTATTATAGTTAGTTAGTTATTAGTAGTGTCATATAATAATTTGATTAATGCCAAAAAAAGAGCGTTTCTAATTATTTTTGTTAGCATATTACCTCAGAAAGAGTGTTTAATTATCCTTGAAAAAACCATATTTCGCCCAAATGTCCGTGATTTTTGCCGTGTTTATCAGGCGTCGACAATTTAGGTAATGGCGGCCCTAAATATATGGGAATTGTAACTGATCTCAAATTTGAGTAGCCTGTAAGATGGTTGATTCAAATAAAATTTNCAAAAAATATTTTTTCAGAGGTGTCCGGGAAAAAAAACATATATCGCCCAAATGTCCGAAATTTTTGCCGTGTTTATCCGGCGTCGGCAATTTAGGTGATGGCAGCCCTATTTGTACCAAACTTAGCCCATTTTCATATTAATGTTGTTGTGTTTGTGCCCTTAATCTGACATTCTGCGAATGCGCCACTATAGTTTACATGTAAGCCATTTTAAAGTAAGAATTTACTTTTTAACCCTTTAAACATTACTATTGAAGGATTTCACCATATCTAACTTTACAACGGTATTTCTTTTGGTATCAGAAATAGTCGATAACTTTATAGGTTTACTCTTTTGCTCAAAAACGTTGGCTTCACTGCGATCCATGCGAAAATGTCTGTGATACACCCCTAATGTACGAAGCCGGGTGGAAGAAACAAATTTCCTACGTGATTGCATACTCGCCGGAGGAAGTACAAGATGTAACATGGAGATATACATCTAATCACAAGGAAATACTGACTAGAAGACAGGAATGTTCGGAGAAGTCATTAATTGATGCCCTGATTACATTAAGAAATGCAAGGCAAACGGAACTGACGAACAGCCGACGTGAATATCTTACGAAAAGGCTCGTTCTAGAATTGGCCGAGTTGATGATCGAGAAGTATGAATTCGAAAAATAATTTCAATGGGCAATCTGATTCCCGTTTCAGAAAACCTAACGACAAAGAGCAAGAAGGTAGGAGTTCCGGATCGTTACAGTGGAGACTTGCAAGAGGCGAAACGAATGCTAACTTCACCCCTTTCGTGTGGAAACTGACGAAACAAGATTGTCAAAGTGGACAAGTTATCATTAGATACTCGCCTTCGTTGGACTGCTACACGAAAACTTCTGCGTCTGGTAAAAATGGCGTTTTAAATAAATGGAGCGCTGGTGTTTTTCAATTAGAAAATGTGTTTAGAAAAGAGGAAAAGGACTGGAAAATGGTGTATTTGGCACGAAACGGTAGGTAAATTTTATCGATTAAAAAATTAATCAGGCCCAGCGACCTACGAGCGTCGACACCCCGGATCTACCGTCGCATTTAGATGTATTTGTATAGCAACTTACGGGTACGAAAATTCAATAACGCATATTAAAATCAAATGCGAAAGATGCATAACAGTTTCTTCAATTGTTTTTCTCACTCAATTATTATTAATTAACGTTAGAAATCAGAACGTTTTCTATAATTCCCTATCGAAAACAGTGTGTTATCTTGATTTTAGAAGGATGTAATATGGGTAAATTGTGTTGGAAATTTGAATTTCCCACTGAAAATTTTCTTCTTGATATGGTTGAAATAAAATTTGAAAGGAAAACTTACGAAAATGGGGTAGTAAACGTACAAATGTGCTCAGATGATATGTGCCTTAATATTCCACAAGGTAGGAAATGATTATTATGTAATAAATATGTTCAAATGCTTTTAAAAACTAAATAAGAGATAATTCTTTGTTAGAGAAATTCCTCTAGCAAAAGTTGGTGTTTGTTTTAATCCAACTAAATAATGAATTTGATTAATTTTTTATAAATTACCTTGCTGAGAATCACAGAAAACTGAAGAATATTTACGAAAAGACAAAAGCAACATTCGGTATTGTAGAAAGACATTTGCAATAATAAAAATTATTTTCTACATAATGATATAATAACTACATATAAAAATGATAAGAACAGTAGTCTTCCTATACTTCTGCACTAAAGTAGGATTCGTTATTGAATATAACATTACCTTTATTTTCAGACGATACGACATTTACAACAAGGGCTTTTAGTAATTCCAAGATGCTACTTATAAAAGCAAGTCTTTCAGGTGGTAAAGGGGATGTGGCTTGGCAACATGCTCAATTGTTTAGACAAGAAATTGGTAGTCAAAATTATCCATTACAAATCGTATTCACGTTTACATCTACACAATAAAATGTAATAATTAATTTTGAATTTGTTTTCCTTTACGTGTATCTTAATATTTTATTTGTTTCTGTTTAAAAGGGTTAATAAAGAATAAATGTGTTTTAATTAATTGTTTCTCTAACTGGTGTACATATTTACCCTTATTATTTCCTATCCAGTGTTGGAAACATAATGAGGTAAGTTCTTTTTTAATTTTTTTTTTTACAATTTTATAAATATTATAAAATCACATATTTTAATACATATTAAAGATTAACATACCCATTACTACGTGAAGTAAAAGGACAAAGCAACTAAGAAAGGAAGCATTTCTTTCCTAAATTGAAATCTAGCATCAGACTTGCTCCGGCATATCAACATTTTGAACTATTTTAACTCCGTTAGATATTTATCTGTATCCAGTAAAATTTATGACAATTGCGATTGTATTTGAAATTCTTATTAAAATCGAGTGACAACTGAATGTCATTATTTGATGATTTACTTAATTTAAGATGATTTTAAGAGCTCTTGTGCTATATTTATTTCTAAACATAGTGGAATGTCAGATATTTGCATTTCCGAAATGTAGATTTCCCCAGCTGGACAAGAATTACTTTTGTAAAAGAGAATACAGTTGCTTAGGATCCCACCGAATAAACACTGCATGCTCTAGGGCACCATGCGGACCAACGAAATCGTGTGGGACACTCTTCAAACCAATACCAATGACCAAATTTGATCGGGAATTTGTTGTACAAGTTCACAATACGTATAGAAATCGACTAGCTACAGGGTTAGAGTTCAGATACCCTGGTAAGTTTTGTATTTCATTTTCAATCACTATTATCAGNTTGGTAGGACACCTTCTTAGGCATGAAGGTCTAGTCAGAGACATATTAGAGGCAGAAACAGGAGTTAGGAGGGGTAGAGGTAGACCTAGATTAGATTACTCTTCGCAAATAGTTAAGGATGTGGGTTGTTCTAGTTTTAGGGAAATACGAAGTTTAGGTCAGGATAGGAAAGAGTGGAGGTACGTGTCCAACCAGTCTTAGGACTGATGACCTTGTGATGATGATGATATTATATAAATATCTGTCCTAATATTTGTATTTGAAATCTTTTGTGTATGTACTTGTCTATTGTGTTCTGTATAAATAATTTTATTACTTGGACTTTTCTATAATCCCTTCTAATATTCCAAATTCACCCACTAACTGCGTGATGTCAATAACTATTGTTCCTTCTTAATTAAAAATAGAAACAAGTAGACTGTGCTAAATTAATAAATGAATAAAGTAGAAGAATCACCCCAATTACCACTAACGTAATTTTACTGAGCGGACACGTGTTTCGTCCACTCTAAACGTGGGCATTATCAACGCGAGATTGATTACATTTCCTTCTTAATTGCTTTTTAATGACAGATTTTTTTCGGTGGTTTAGGGTTAATATTCTGTCTATTTCTTAGTATTTTGTATATTCATATTCCCAGATTTTATTCTCTTCTAATTGGTTTCATCTAAATAGTTCTAGCTACGCCCTAATAGTTTTCCTAACATTTTCATTTACAAAACATTTAAAACTTCCAAATTCGGTTTACTACAGTACAATTCAAGTAATCTTTTTGCTAAGTCTTCAACTAGTTTTCTTCTTTTCGTTATATTTCAACTTCTAATTTCATTCTTCCAGTTTTGTAAATATATTGTTAACGTTATTTGTCGCGTTGTATTTCATTTGTTTTATTTTGTTGTTTTACCTTGCTATTCCTAAAAAATACATAATTCATCGGAAATTCTTTGCAATTGTTTTTATTTAAAGAATACTGTGATAAACTGAGAACTACGAGAATATTTTTTTAATTGCTTATATACTTATTAGTAGCTTGTTACAAAATTTTACAATTGCTAGTTGCTTTTCTTCGACGACCACATAAAAGTAATTTTTTCTATGCTTCAGGAACACTACTTTTTTCTGGATAAAAGGTACCCTATGTCCTTTTATGTACCCCTGACAATGTATGTCACATAAAGTTAACTTTTGTATCCTTCGGGAATAGTATTTTTTTTTGTCCTTTTCTGTAACCCTGACAACATGTATACAAAATTTCATGATAGGTTTTACCAGCGGCTTCGCTCGCATGGATGTTTCAAATACATGTCAAAGATGATCGACAACAACAAAATTTCATTCCATTTAATTGACATATTAGAGGCAGAAACAGGAGTTAGGAGGGGTAGAGGTAGACCTAAATTAGATTACTCTACGCAAATAGTTAAGGATGTGGGCTGTTCTAGTTTTAGGGAAATACGAAGTTTAGCTCAGGATAGGAAAGAGTGGAGGTACGTGTCCAACCAGTCTTAGGACTGATGACCTTATGATGATGATGATTATTATTCATTTATTTACAGTTGTCAATAAAAGCGAAACAATTGTTTATGAACCCCTGGCAAATATGAAGGTAATGGCGTATAACATAGAACTAGAGTTTATAGCCCAATGCTGGGCTAATAATTGTTTGAATAATGGTTGGAGTCAGGTTCACGATAAATGCAGGAAAACACAAATGTTTTCTAACGTCGGTCAAAATTTTTTTCTTTACACTCATGTTACCCCACTTACTGAAAAAATCAATTTCTCCCATTACAATTACCTGAGCAAAGCAATGGACACATGGTATCAAGAAATCCATAAATTCAAGTACGAAGAACACATTGAGTTCACTCCCAACCCCGAAACCGACAATTTTACACAAATGGTTTGGGCGACTACCGGTTATGTAGGTTGTGCCCGAACACAGTATGGACACGGACGAGTCCTCCGACTGATAATATACTGTAATTATGGATCCGAAGGAAATCTGGTAGATATCTTTTACAATTTTAATTAGGTACATTATAAAATTTTGTCGGATGTGAAATTGAATTAAAAACTTTAGACTAGATTTTGGTTAGATCCACGTTAGCCTAAGAACTGGCTAGTTCTATCTAATTTCATATTCCATAGTTACATCATCCTTTATATAAACCTCTACTGCTATTAACCACTTGTAGCATTACTACCCACTTCTTCATTTTTGTCCCATACACTTCCTTTTTAACTTTCCATACTTCCTTTACTTCTACCTTCAGTCCCATCTTCTATTTTGTAAATCCCTTTAACTCCCTCTTCTTTTTATTCTCTTCCAAATGTATTCCAAAAAAAATGAAGTTTTGTCTTTTCCATTCGTTTCCTTTCCAGTTCCATTTCCTTTTACCATGTCAATCTCCAGCTCTTTTAGTGCCGTCTCCCTTACTCCTGTTTTCAAGATGTTTTTTCCTCTTTAAACCATTGTGTACGCCTTTCTTTATTGTATTCATCCAATCTTTTCTCCAGTTCTTGTCATTTTTCTTCCTTATCCTTATCTTTTCTTTCATACTTTCATTTTTTTTCTGAAATTTATTTAGCTCCTGTTCCAAGCTTTCTCATCTGCTTTTATCTTCCAATTCCTTTTTGCTAGTTGTCAGTCTTTATTTCTTCTAATAGTTTCCTTAATACATCTATACCAACAACCCCTCATATTTTCATAATAATTGATTGCTTTAGCTAGGGAAGCCAATATTCCATGTAAGTAAGAACGGATCGAGCTGTTGTGAAGAATGTGAAGGCAAAATAACCTACTACTACCTTTTTAAAGGGCATGTGACTGGAGAGGACCAACACGGTTTGTCTATGGTTCACTTCCCCGATCATGAGAAAAAGTTACAACAATTCCAGGAAATGGGGATGGATCTTTCTAACAAAGTAGAAGTAGCTTTAACAACACACATTTATATATTCCCAGGATGCAACTTGAATTACTCATGCCTTTGTGGCATGAGTAAAGACATCGATATGGCAAACAAATATTTCACGCCGCCTTTTCAAATTGCCACTGGAAGTCGAATTGAAGGCAATAGCTTCATTTTATTTTCACTTTTGATTTTTTCACGCAATGTTATCACATATGATTGTAACTAATGATGTTCTGAATTTGTGTTCTTGATAATAATAACAATAGTAGTTAGAAATAAATTAATGAAAAATTTTAAACTTTATAATATACGTTTCTTACAATTAGTATTTATTACCAGAAAATAAAAACTTTCAAAACTTTTACACTTTGCGATTTAAAATTAGGAAAAACAAAAAGCAAATCATTACAATATTAAGGAGAAAGAAACCATAAATAAATCCACCACGGCATTAGTAAACAATAATCGATTTTGGCTATTAAATGGTTGCTTCTCGATATTTTAAAAGCTTGACGGTAATCCTCGTTTGATTGATTAATGGTCAATTTTCTTCCGCATAGACAAGGATATTGGAAAGAGCAAGCAGTCATAAAAAGAGTTCGAAAACTTTTCATTTTGTAACGTTTGGAAACGTCATGACCCCTACTTCTAAGTTCTTGAGCTTTCAATGCCAGTACAGATGAAATACTTTTTTTTAAGGCTTCCGGATCGTTCTCTGTAAGGTAATACACATATCTGCCATCGCAGCCGTTACAACAGGTATCATTTTCCGACTCGTCGTATACACTGTGCTCTGCCTACGAAAATGTTTACATAGGTACTTATTGTTTAGAAAAAGTGCCCCAGTATTGTAAAATAAAGTACCAGACAGATTTTGGAAATTTCAAGCTTCTATCTAACGCTGTTGACGTTCGCACAGTGGCGTAGGGCAGAAAAGATAGTATTGTATGAGATGAAGAAGAAAATTGTCATTTAGTGGGAAATAAGCTGGTAGGTAGGGGGGATGGTGGAAGAAAGAATGGATCAAGAACAAAGATAGTGGTTTTTGGGATTGTGTGAAATAGTTTTTTTTTTTTTTAAGTAAGAAGGAAATTGGATATACATTATAACTGGGATAGAGCTAAGGGAAGATTGTAGGGTTAAAGAATTGCAAAGCAAATGTAAAGGAATTGGACAGGGGAATAGTAATGATAGAAGGGTTAGGCGGGAATCATTAGTTTTATATATTTCATATTACAATATCGGAATTTCATACAATTCCTAGGAAATGTATACATTGGATATATGTGTACATATTAAAAAAAATCTTTGAAACAATATTTTATAGATTTTTTAAATAGCCTCGAAATTGTATACAATTCCTAGATTTCATACATTTCCGATAACTTACACAGATATATCGTATTTTGATAAAGACAGTACTTATTTACAAGGGTGTCAAATTAATTTCTTAACTACGCCACCGTCCGTGCATGGTTTTAAATATAGTATTGATAATTGTACTTCGTTTAGTTTTTGTAGCGATGTGACCTTCAGTTTGACAGGCGCAAACTAGAAAAGAACAACACTAGGCCAGAAAAGGAAGAAGACAATTCTCGGCCAAACTCGTAAACGTATAATACGTACAGTACTGCACGGAAAAATTTACCATTTTATCCACTACAATTGCATTGCTCAAATGTGCTGTTATTGGTACTATTTACTACTGAAAATACCAGCAAGATGTTTATTTATATTTGAAGACAAATTAAAGGCTTTAACGCCTGTTTTCGACTCACACTACTATTCATGATTGAACAAAACTTTTAGCAGATACTGTATGTAAAAGTATGTTTAATGAACAAGAGTCGAGAGTATAATGAGCTTTTTTCTCCCTACCTACGATTTTGCCAGCGCGCATCCAAGACATTTGAAGGGGCACATCGCTAGAGAAAGTAAATGAAGTATAAAATGATTACGGCGAAATTACCAAATTTCCTGCATATCCGTAATTGCAATATATCAATAATCGTAAAACTCTACCATAGCCATATTGGGTTCTACCGCACCCAACGGCCGACGTGTTGGCCCATATTAGCTGCGTAAAATTACTCGTTTTAAAATACATTTCATAATTGGATGTACGTCTATCGTCGTAATGATAAATTTCCAAAAACCATGAGTCAACTGCTTTTCCCAAATAAGCGATTCGAGAAAAATTTATCCTGTCCGCAAATGGAGTAATGTGCGCGTAAAGGAATGCGTTTTGGCCTACTTCTTCGAATTGCTGTGTTCTTCTACATTCATCATGAAAACGTGACCAACCGTCGTGCAGGCAAAAGTTAGACCAACACTGAGCCATAAACTCCAACTCTTTATCATATTGTAAAATTTTCATATTGTTGGCCGGTTTTAATTTATGTGGATGAGATATACCTAAAATTTTTCAAGTTTCTTATAATACACTTCGATACTTGTTGAAATAGATGTTAAAAGCGTGGAAGTATTAATCAAAAGTGTCAAAAATTGAAAACATTTTTGAAGTGAAACTTCTTTACGCACGGTAGGATAAGTTCGTTTCATGCGAGTTACTATGTAACGAAATCATGCAACGGATGTCCCCCCTCTACTCGACCACGCAGTCGAGTTCGTAGTGGGGATCGCTTGAGCCGTGAGCGCCCTTCAATGCAACGTTCGTTACAAGCAACTCCGGCATGTAGTGTAAAATTTAAATTCACAGTGTACAAATAATACCATTAAACCAATTCCTTAACCCCTATGTTTGTGTGTTTGAAGAAGTTTCACTTCAGTAGCGTGCTGTATAATTACTCGTTGTATTTTTTTCTTTATAAATACAGTAGAATTTCGATAATTTAAACCAGGATAACGAATATAATTTAAAATAAATGTTACCTATCACCAAACTTATTAATGATCTACTGGTTTTAATTTCATTTGGGGTATTACAAATTAAAGGTCTTTATCTGGTGTATCTTCTTATCGTATTGTAATTTCAGAATTAATGAACCGATTTTTAAACGTGTTGGATAATTGTGTTCCTAGAAGCAGCCTTTTTCAAGAACTCAAACACCTACCCTCCGATTTTTTCATAATTTGGATTATTTTATCCGATCTCCATGGAATGAAGTTTTCGCCACGATTGTTTATTTACTTTTTACAAAGACGATTTTTTATTTTGACAAAAAGATGTTTATATAAAAAAAGTACCCGAATGTCTTTCTTCCTGCCCAGATGCAATTCTGTCTCGGTAACCGTTGTGAAGTGCTAACATAAATTCCCTTTCGAAATCGTTAAAAGGTAAGCTTTTAAAATTAGGTCCGCATGTAGAAGTAGGACCACAGGGTTTGCGCCAACAAGCGGTGTTTGGAACCGAGGTTGTTGGACACTGATAATCAGATCTGCAGTAATAGTTATCCTCATAGGGCAACCTGCATCTTCCTTTTGTAGGATTAAGAAGTTTCTCTCTCACTTCTTCTAAACCACCATTGCATAATCTAAACTTTATTATTACGAATACGGCAAAAAGTACTAGTAAAAGTTTCATTTTTCATTTAACTGTTTTACAATAAGTTGACAACTTGAATGACTTATGCTATTGCCATACACAGTGGCGTACATGCCACTGTCCTTTTCTGCAAAATCAAAATCATATTTTAGTTGGTCAAAACTTTTTTAAAACGGAGTAAACATTTGTGTGATTCTATTCAATATTGGAAGCAATATAAACAAAATTTTAAGGAGTTCATAAGTTTCTGGTAACTTTGATAACATTTTGTGTTATATTG